CTCAAGTGGTGTCCACAGGATTCTCCATGAATCCTTCTCATAATCCTAGGCAACATCCTCAAAGGCAGCCCACTATTGACAGTGCCATGGAACCAAGGCCTGGTGGCACACAAGCATTTCCAGCACAAGGTCATCCACAAGTGATTCAAGGAATGCAGCCTGAAATTGCCAAAGGCATGGACCCAAGGCTTGGAGACCCACAAGGGTTTTCAGCACAAAGTCATCCTCGAACAAGCCAAGGACTGCATCCAGTATTTAGCAATGCCATGAAACCTGGACATGCTGCTCCACCAGCATTTTCAAGACAAGGAAATTCACATGTTCAAGGACCTTCTGGTCAGACAGCAACTGTCAATGCTGTGAGACTATTGCCAGGTGGTCCACAAGGGTCTTTCAAACAACCTCAGGAAGGCTCTCTAATATCTTCCCAGGCAGCACCTACTGGGCTGCCAGTAACTTCCACTCAAACTGTGGGTGTTTTACACCATCCACATCAGCCTCCTCAGCAAGGCCTTAGCCAACCAAACACAAAAGCAGAACGCATGTCAAAACCTAAAGTTTTTGCACCAGTGACTAGGACTGCATTTGATGGACTTCCTGCCAACCATCAGCTTAGGGAACGACTTCAGAACATGGCTAACAGGCAGAAGGGTTTGATAGCCAGAAATAGTGAACAAAATGATGGAAATGTGCAAGATTTGGAAGGTACATTAAATAGAAACAAGCCTGAAAAAACTGTCTCATTGGCCATAACTGGTCCATCATTCTACATGAATAAAATTACCTGTATATAATTCCCTTGTTGGCATGAAATCTGCAAGCAATATATGAACATGTTGTGATGTTTGTGCCAACCTCTCTCACTAAGGCCCTGATTTTAATTTTTTACCAAGCACAAGTTATTATTGTTTTGCAGTGTTTGATATCATATCTGTTTGTTCCATGTCCATACTAAGCCTGCCAAGGAATTTATGTCTTTCAAGAAACAAGAAATAAGAAACTTTATCTTATTAATTTGTGACCATGGCATAATTTCCAGTGTTCTTTTTTATTATTGCTCCAGGTCAACAACCACGCCCAACCTCTCCCCACGTGCGCTTCCAGGAACCTCCAGCAGCTGTGAAGGGACAAGACAAGGCTGAACCCAGACATGAACAAGTTTCTCCTCCATTGTCACCCATTCCACATAGGAATCCAACTGTTAAGAGAACCTCAGCTCCCCCTGACAAAAGAGTTGTCATTAATCTACCAAATGCTTGGTCTGATGTCTCATCAACAATTTCCTTGTGAAATGAGAGCTTTTATAAAGACCATTATGAAACTTGTTCACTTAAAACAATTGTACTCTCATTCATAATTTCAATATTTGCTTCATGCATTTTTTCACCCTTGCACTCTCTGAAGTGATCAAGAATTGACTTCTTACAGTATCATTCAAAGAAACTTTATGAAGCAAACAGTGAAATATGTTGATTTTTACCGCAGAAATGCACTCAGCTACTCCAGCTACATCAATTGTTTTAGCATTCTACTCATTACAAGTAACCTCAAACAAAAAATTAAAATCAAGTGTGACTTGTTAAGGAACTCAAACCGGCAAGCAAGACTTTTAGAGGCATTTCATTTGAGAGAATCATGTACTTGTTCCAAGATACAAAGAGTGTGTTATAGCTTGCAAGAAGGCCCTCTTAATTAGTGCTTTGGCACAAGCATTTCTTTGCCTGCAGGAAAATATATGGCTGTGTGTGACATGCATTGTGTCCAGTACATGGTACCTTCCAAACAATTACCCTAATCAGTGTTGGATAAAAAAAATGTATTTTGGTCATTTTATTTGCAAAAAGCTTCACTTTTTCCAGTTCATGGTACTGTCCAATTAATTATCCAAATCAGTGCAGAATGAAAAACAAACATTTAATTTTGGCCATTTTATTTACAAAGAGCTGCACTTTCTCCAAGTCACTTTTCCCAGTACAAAGTACTTTCTGAAAAATTACCCGAATCAGTGCAGAATGAAAAAAAATTATTTTGGCCATTTTATTTACACACAGCTGCACTCATTCACTGACTGTGTGGAAAATCAACACTTTTTCCAGGCCAGTCAAGTTTTTATATCTAAGATTTGTGAATAAATTGTTCCAATGTCAGATTTTTGCAGAGCTTTGTGTCATTAAAATGGATTTATTTAATAGGTTAGACTTGGAATCTAATAAAAAAAAAAGCCTTCAAATCATGAATTTACAGTATGCATGTGGTTGTTTTGACAATATAATATTTAAGAAAAGGTTCCTAAGTATCCATGATGCACATACATTCAAATAGCTTTAAATACACTGTAAAATGTGATATTCCATAACTTACAGTACAGACTGAGAAAAGACAGTTAGTAAGATATTTATTTTATCACTGAGTTCAAATAGAGGGTGGAGGTCTTAATTCAAATAAACTTTTTAATTCAGTGGGCCATACAGTGAAATAGGGCTTGTTGAATCGACCAATCATAACAAATGTACAAACTAAGAGATACAATAAATCTTTTTATAATACCCCATCACCTGACCCATTCACTTGAGGTCTCATCCATCAAAAACCCTTACTAATTCACACATCAGCAGAACCTCATTAAATGACACAGAAACAAATGATTGTAGACCACAATTTTAATGAGCTTTGAGGAAAAAATACTGACTTGTTTAAAATTAATACACACGATGGTTTTATTTATCTTCATTATTTCCCTTTGCCTTTCTTTCCTTTTTTTTTCTTTGCTGTTGCTCCTGCTCCTTGCTGCTGGTTTGTATTTTCACTTTGTGAAGACTTACTTTGACGACTTTTCAACTTTGGGATCATTTCACCAAGAAAGAGAAATAATGCTTTCCCTGTGAAACAAAATACAGGACATTTAAACTTTTCCTTTTTAACCCTTTAACTCCCAAGATCTGATTGTTAATTCTCCCCTCTAGCTGCTACACATTTCCTTGTAAATTGGTTACAAGAATTTGGCTTTCAATCAAGATAATTGCCTTGTACATGATAAGTTTGAGTATTCTCATTACCTGTTTGCTAGATAATGTATGGATATTGTAGGGAGAAGTAACATGTTAATCACTTCAGGGAGTTAAAGGGCTAAGGAGAGACAGGAATTTACTGTAAAACTTGGAAAATTGGGAAATCTGGAAATATTTCAGGAACCTTATAGTATTGAGATGAAGTCTATGAGGAAAACACAATTTAACTATGAGCGGCAAAAGTAAATTTCTTTTGTTGTGTCTGTGGTTTGCTTGTGTTGGATTTAACAACATGCTAAGTAACCTTTTCCTTCGACAGACTGCTTAAGGCAAAGCAAAAAATCAATATGATCCAGTCAGATTCTTGTACATAATATGTCTTTGGAACATGGAAAGAACATTTTTGCTTTGATATTCTGATACTTCATTAAGCAGAAAATAATTAATTTCAAAATTGAAAAAAAAATTTGCATCAGAATGTAGGTGTCATTATTCTATTCAAAATACAAAATGTTCTTTTCCTTTGTCTGTAGTGAATGATTATACATGTACAGTTGAAAAGAAAGGTAATGAAAATTTAACCAATAGTAATACAGAACCACAGCATTTAAAACTGTCATGTGGTGAACACTCAGCTTATAGATCAACTTACTTGATTGAAATTTTTCATTGACAAAGCTTGCATCACTCTGTTTTAGTTGAACTCGTACTCTGCCCTTACATAAGGCATCTTTAGCACTGTCTTTAGGATAATATTTGTTCTGAAAGTACATTGCAAAATGGTATATATAACTGTAGTGTATTGCGTTATACAGCATTGCCACTGTGAGAACACTTTCTATTACACAATTGTGTCATAAATCTACTTTCGAAAAGTAGTTTGAAAAAAAAAGTAGTTTCATTGTTCCTTAAAAGTTAAATAACTTATTATGAGTACTGTATGGTAAATATACCATTAATAATTTATTGATCATTGAATTTAAAAGACAGTTGAATTGGAGCAATGAGAGGAGTAACTTGACCTATAATCATCTTCATGATGTATAATGTCATCCTTCTGAAAAAATAAGACCGCCTGGATAAACTTTCTCTCAAGATGGGTATTTTCCTCCTTATAACAAGCCCTGTGGCCTCTTCTTGGTTAAGAGAAAACTCTATTAAGCATAATAAATACTAAGGGGCCTAATGTAATGTGATCAGTACCACTGAAAACCAGTCTCTAAATCGTGAGAAAAACGATTACACGTTCATTTATCTACAAAACTACGATAAACAACAACATTTTCTCTGACATTCCTCGCTTTCTCTCCGAGGAATCACCTTACAACAAAGAAAGATTTGAAATTTACAAGTTAAAAACAAAATAAAAAAGATTAGAATATTTAATTTACCTCTACTTCGCAGTTAAGTCCTTGACTCTGGCAGACATCTCTTATTTCAAAAACTGTTGGATTGTCGGCAGCCTTAAAAATAAAAAATAAAACCAACAAAAACGTATTCGTGCATTTCATAGCATTCATTAATTTTAGCAGTGTACTGATTGCAAAATAAACATACTTGCAACACCTACGTTAAATTTACATCAAGATCTTACGAAAACGACATCTTAGGGGTTCACGAATTTAATTATAAAAGCTTTTTAAAGGTTTTTTTTAAACAACAATTTGCTAATAAAAATACCTTTTCTTTAGGAACACGTCGACCTTGTTGAACTGTCTTCCTGCTATTCAAATAAGCTGGATAAACCACGATCCATCTGAAATATGATCCACACACAATTTTTAAAAATTAATCTTAACTATAGAAAAGAAATAAGAGGCGAATTAAGATGAGGGACGCTAAAGTTTTTACCGATCTTTGGAAGCTGGATCAGTACTCAAATGCGCCATGTTGAATTTAAGTCGTTCCGCTGGTCTGTTCGAGTGCGGAACATATTTGAGCCCGCATTCAATTTTAACTTAACCTAGCGTTTTCTTTCAGCAGAACCAAAACCGTTGGAGTGAAAAACAAAATGTTTTGTTATCAGTGGGAACTTTCATCGTATGGAAAATTATTTGCGGAGTTTTTAAGTTAGATCTGTAATGGAATAACAGTGTCCCTTTCGTGGATGTCATGAAAATCGTTTACAAGTTCGTTGGGGCTGCACTGTTGTAATTTCCGAGCAAATGCGCGCCAATTATGGCCATGATTGAGACAGTCCGTCAGAGACAGAAGAACTCCGTTGATTTTCCTTCGTGTTACGATAATCTGTGTGCTTTGCAGAACTCATGTCCTCTGGGATCAATCACTGCGAATCTAGATGAACTCACCATTGATTGCAATGCCGATCGGATCCGCCATTCGGATTGGATGCCAATCTTGAACGCACTTAAGATCAACAAGACGTTGAAAAGTGTCGCATTCAGGAGTTACTGGCAGCAAACACTTTATCCAGATGGAGGTAAGCAATATTGAAATTGGAGCGACAGTATACAGTGTTTGACTCTAATTCAGCTCTTTAGGTGTCTTGATTAGTCCCTTCTAGTGTATGCGATCAGATACTAACGGGTACCAGTCATCTACCGGGAATCTAAAACCTGGAGACGCCTGGTTTTCGAAAATTCCATCTGGGTTGAAAGTTTCAGGTTCGAGACCCAGTTGGGTCATTTTGCTGTGTTTTTGGACCACTAGGAGTAGAAATGGGTTCCAGCAAATTGTCAGGGAAGACTGATGAAATGCTGGGGGGTAACCTTGTGATAAACGAGCATCCCATCCAGGGGAGAGTAGTAGTGGTAATATTATACCCCTTGCATGCTATGGAAACTGGGATAGGATCCAGGTGGATGGGCCAATTGGCTCAAGTACAGACTGCTTTTTTTAGCTTCCTGTTCCCATGCCACACACCTAGTCTTGTTCTGTCCAGCTGTGCAGAGCTATTGAATAAAGGGGGTAAGTTTCTTAAGAAACTGTGGTGCTGTGTCAGTGTGAGAGCATAGCAGGTAATTTAGTGTTAACAACTGAGTTGAAAATGTAAATTAGCCGCTGTAAAGAAATAAGAGGCTGACATTTTGAGCATTAGCCCCTTGCCAGAGCAATCTCTCCAGCAGCTTAACTCAGTTGTTAACACTAAATTATGTACAGAGCTATTCCTGAATAATGCATATCCATTTTTGTCAGTATTCATAATCAGCTGTAGAAAAGTGCTATCTTATCCAACTTTATCTTTAACTTAGTGGAAAGTCAGTCATTGCTTTAATCCTGTTAAACTCTTATTACATCAGAGGTAACAGAGCAACGTTTGCAAGCACTGAGGAAGAAAGCACCTCCAATCCGTAGCAAGGATGTCACATACAGGGTTTGCAGGTACAGTAATTCACTCAAAGCTAACTAGCTATTCTGTTTCCCCACTTAGAAGTGTGAAAATTGTTTTCTTTTGAATAAATTCATTTGATGGAACATTACAGTGATTATTTTCCTCCTGATGTTGTGAGTGTGGTAACCAGAGTCTGATCTAGGACTTCCAGCAAGGGGGGGCAATGTGTCCTAGTCAACAATTTTCAGAGGGACATAATCTACCCCCCCCCCCCCTAGCATTTATTCAAACTTGTGCCTGGGAACCTCAGGCCTTTTACATTCATCATATTCCCTGGATTTTGGTTCTTGCTTCACTTTTAATCTTCTAAAATTTAAACAAAATATTGTTTTAAAAAGATTTTGTATGAGATGAAATCACATTTCCTTGTTTCTTTTTCTTTTGAAACACAATTTGAAGTGCACGTAAATGACTCAGAACAGGTATTTGAAGGGGATATATTTGCTCAAACCATGGCAATCCTGTAATGGCACGCTCTAGATCAGACACTGGGTAACTTGATCCCTACAAGAGCATACAAATTCCAATTCATCATTAACAACTTCCTTTAGTTTTTCCGGTACATCAAGTTATCATAGCAACTCCATCAAGCAACTCCATAGCACTCTGCAATTTTAATTTTAATTTTAAGGCAAGCTCAGAAATAAATGTTATTGATCTTTGAACAACCGTCAGAATGTTTAAACCACCTTTGATTGAGAAGACTTTGTAAAATTGTCAATTTTTGGAACTGATTAATTTATGTCACTGATTTATTTTTACATTCTTAGTTTCATTATTGATAAATGATCAACAGTTCAAACATTCTAACTGTGAATTTTGCAGAGCCATCAAAGAGTGTTTAGCTGTTACAGAGAATTTGACATCTCTGGTTTTTGAAGGAATTCCTCTGAGAGAAAGAGACCTGACCTGCCTAGCAAAGGTACAAGAAGTGATAAGTGAAAAAATTGTTAACAAATTTTTTACAAGGAGTTCAGCACATGCAGACCAATAGTACTCCTTCTCTCTTGTAATTGCTGTGAGAGGTCTTGTAAGTTGATAAAAAATAGAAAAAAGAAGAGTTTGCATACTATGGGTGCTGCATGCTCAGTGTATGATAATAAGGTTATAAGGCTATAAATTGTGGGGAATTTTGGCTCTAGTTGTGGGAATTTGGACATCAGTGTCCTATTTTGAACAATAGTACCTGATTTTCTACACTACTCTCCAATTTCATAGGCACTAGTGGTCAATTTATACTTATGTCTGATTCTAGACACATGTCCAGTTTTAGACTTAAATATCCAATGTTATATGCTAGTGTCTCATTTTTGACATTAATGTCAGGTTTTAGGCTCTAGTGTCTGGATTTTAGACACCAATGTCTAATTTTTGAGACTAGTGTGAGGTTTTAGACAATAGTGTGCTAGACTCTAGTGTCCAATTTTAGAGACTAGTGTCAAAATTTAGGCACATCTGTCCAATTTTAGATGTTACTGACTGATTTTAGATTAAACCACATTGTAATCCAAATTTCATTTACCTAGTTGAAACCAATCAAAAAAAAAATTTTGCTCAGTTATGCCTTCACCTTTCAATGAGAATCATTCAGTGGTCAAAATATTTACACTCGGAGCCTGTTGGATAGGATTATAAGTCTTAAAATATGTAATTATTACTCAGAATGTTTTATTACTTTTGTTTTTCAAGTTTTTGACACAAAAACACAAATTTCTTTTTCCTCCAAGGGTATAAAAAAGAACAAAACTCTACAGCATTTGTCCTTGGAGTTCTGCCAAATCGGTGACAGTGGCGTTGAAAGTGAGTAGTCGTAAATATTTTTTCGATGATAAATTTTTCTCTTCTAGTTTGTGGCTGGTATTTTGATTTGCCTTAGAATATCATCAGATACTCTTAGGAATTTTCATCAAACTTGTCAAGCATCATGCTCAAATTTCCACCGGCCATGTTTAAGATGATAGTTGTGAACGGGACTTTGAGCTCGAGCAGTCAACGAGTTTGGCCGAAATTCCAAATACATCTGATGCGCATATTGGGTGCGACATAATTCCGTGCTATACCAGGCAGAAACTGATGTGAAATATTTCCAATGAGATAAACATAGACTTTATTAAAATACAAGTCTTCATTTATTATCAAAAGTATCAAATTAAACCTCGACTAAGACTTACATTTCACTTTGCAGTCCTCTGCAACGCGATAAAAAATAACACGTCCGTGATGACTGTGAACTTCTCTGGCTGCAGTCTAACCTGGAAAGGAGCAGACACTCTTGCTAAAGTGATAAAGGTGTTGTAAATTATTTTTCTTCAGTGAGTCAGAGTTTTGTTATGATCTTTCACGGTTCATAGGGCATGATGCACGCTCGAAATTCGACACGTGCAACACGACACTCGACCCGGACGTCTCGAAACTTGTCTCGAACGTCTCAGAACTCGACTCGTACGACTCGATACTAGACTCGTACGACTCGATGCTCGACTCGGACGTCTCGAAACTCGACCCGCACGACTCGATACTCGACTCAGACGTCTCGAAACTCGACTCTCACGACTCAATGCTCGGCTCGGACATCTCGAAACTTTTGTTCGTATGACTTACTACTTGTCTCGAACGTCTCGAAACTCGACTCGTACCACTCAATACTTGTCTCAAACGTTTCAAAACTCGACTCGAATGTCTCCATACTTGACTCGAGCCTCGAATCTCGTCGTCATGCAGAATCGTGGATTGAGTTTTGAAGGACTATCAACTTACTACTGAGTGTTGCTTTATTCATACATAGCACCAAGCAACAAGACGTCATGGTGTCGCGTGGCAAGACAGCCTGCGGTATCGTCGTCCAGATCTCGACAGAATGCCTGGACTTCGGCGAATAACCATTTGTAAAAATCCAATGATTAACGATCAGGGAGCTCAGTTGATTGCTGAAGCACTCAAAGATGATCTCTGGGTTAAAGGTCAGTTTTGTTAGATCTGATTTGGTGCTAAACTTTATGCGTTTATTTGTCCTTGGATTTATCATCAGTTCGGAGAATGGAACTTAAGGAAACAAAAGAGATTCGTGGAACACTACAAATATCTGTGCTTATTTTAGCATCTTCAAATATATTGTGCAGTCTGTGAGATTGTTCTGAGTTTATGATTTTTATTATTAGTATTATTTTAATTTTTCATCGTCGTAAATTTTCCTCTGCAGCTTTGGATATGCAACAGTGTGGGATTTCAACCGAGGGTGCAATGGCCTTCCAGCCGGTCTTAAAGTTCAACTCCACCATTTACGTGTTGGACCTCAGACTAAATCCTTTGATAGGTAAGTGCAATTTGTAAGAGTAAATTCTCAAATTAGCCCCCTCCCCCTCTTATGAGAGCCACCCTCCGTCAATAAACTGCGACGCCCACCCCCCACCCCCAATCCTCGGCTGCCCCTGTTTGCTGCATATATATTTTTTTTCTTTTAATTTTTTTTTTAATGTTCGCTCATTTTACTTATTTTTTTCTATAGATCGCGAAGTTTTTGGATCATTGATGGAGCAACTGATGATTAATTGTGGAGAGAGCGAGTTGGAAGTAAGTTTGTTTGATGTTGATGTTGCTGTAAAAAAAGTCGATGTGGCGTTGCTTTTATAGCCACTCTTGGAAACTTGGGAATGGGTTGTAGATAAGACAGTTGCCACCGGAGAAAGTCTTTATATGCACGTTATCAGGGAAAAAGGAAGGGTGGGGGGTGTTGGTATCTTCCCACTGCTCTGCGAGCCGTGATTAAATTCCTCGTCCGTGGAAAAAGAAAAATACGGAAGCTGCGAGGAATTTAATGTGTTCAGCGGCTGTCAACATCATTTCGTTAGCCTTTATGTTGTTTGTTTTTAGTATCCATGGTTAGTGATAAGAGAGCCAAAACCAGGACGAATACGTCCGCAGAAACGAAAGAGCGCGGCTACACAGCAGGGCATGCGGGCAGGAAGGTAAGTGTCGAAAGTGGTCTGTTATCGTTATTGTTATTAGAGCTTTGCTGGAATTCTCCGTGAAATTCACGTATGAGGGCCGAACGGAATGAAGTGGAGGACTCACAAGAAACGACCTGAAAGGAGAAAGCAATTAAACAAGGAGTTTAAGAAAATCACGACGGAACGGCAATGGGAACACCGCTAAACAAAAAGGTTTAATGAGCAGAACAATCGCTGTGCACGTGCGTTAGAAATCTTTGTAAATTTCTTTTCGTCCTCTGCAAAACAACAACGTGAAATGAGCAAACTTTGCGTTGTCTGGGTAACATGAACGACGACGGCTAATTTATTTCTAATTTAACATTGTGTTCCATGTTCAGTTTCGAGACAGTTTTGATAGTGAGAAACAGGCTAAATGACTTTACAGTATCGCGAGACTCGTAGGTAAAATATGAGTTCATTTTTTACCGACGTTGTCCACGGCGTCGCTTCTTAATCCTTTAAGTCCCACTAGTGACCAAGACAGAATTTCTCCTTACACTATCGGTACGTTATCAAGCAGACAAGTAATGAGAATAAAGAAAAATATCAATTAGGGGATTATTGGTCGATTCAATTCCAAATTTTCCAAAGTAACATCACATAAATTTTATGGCAGACAGTAAGGTGAATTACTGATGAAATCTTGGGAGTTAAAGGGTTAAACTCCTAATGAAAGAGCGGCGACGGTCATGTGCTCAAATATATATTGATTTTTGTTCGGGCCGGTCAGGTCATTACTTACGGACCTAGCGCGGCGAAGAATCATTAGTTCAGTTGCAAAGATTTCCTAAATGTTTTCACGAGCGAAAGAATTTGATTCATCTCTGTGGCTTTTCATTTCTCTGCTGTTTAAAAGGACTGGTGTTTCGAGGAGTGCTGTTGTCGTGTCAAAGAAGTCTTCTGGTTTCATTCCTTGGAGAACAGCAGCTAGAGTAGGAAAGAACAGGTAATCTATTGATGAAATGATGTCGCGTGTCTCGCGATTTAGTTACCTCAAATATTCATATGTTTGCGCCATTTCGACTGTGTACCTCAAGACTACCACAGGCGAGAAAGACGCCTGTTCGCTTGTGACTCTATGAAGCATTGTGCTGTGGTCTTTGCCCTTTTTCTTTTTTTAGCTGTTATCCGGCAGTCTGCTGTCACACAATTCTCCTGTTCAGTTTTTAGGGTCGATTTCCGTCGCTCTCTACCCTCCGGTCTTCGCTCTTCCGGGGTCGGGGACAAATCGGGGACGTCCGTGTTTCTGGAAGCTCGAGTCCACCGTCTCTTTTGACGTTCGTAAGGCGAATTCTCATGAAACGTGGGGGCTACGAGCGAGCTCAGTCATCAGCTTGCCTTTGGGATTCAGGATTGTTGGGCTTTTTCCAAGACGGAAAAATAGCGCTTGCAAAAGTTTTTACCAGTATGTTTTGGTTCCACTTTCTTCCAACAGGCACAAACTTGGACGACAAAATGCACAAGACGGCTCGTCAGTTAAGAAAAAGAAGGTATGTTTAATGTCGATGGAGTCTTAGCAATTGTTGAAATCACGTATATGCGTTGTAAATGCTTAGTAAATTGCTGTGGTATAATGAAGAAATGTAAAATGGTTTCCGTGTTGGCTATGTAAACACGGAAACCATTTTACATTTCTTTTATAAAATTACTAATGAAAGAGGAACAAAAACCGTGTTTACATACACTCGTGTAAAATGGTTTTATGGCCAATCAGAGCGCGCGTACTATTTGAATTATTTTATAATTAATTATCGTTAATTGAATGTTTCTGGATTCGTGTCTCGTTTGATTATTAATGCTTGTAATTTTTCATAGTTTCTCGACTTTAAGTTTGCTTATCTTCCTTCCCTGGTTTTTTTTTGTTCAGAGTGTGTTCTGTGTGCATGGTTGGCCCGCACTAAGAACGCAGGAGACGTGTGCGGGAGTGAAGACGCGCGTGACGTCTCGCTTGTTCGTCCACGCACGCTCAAATCGCACGCTTTTTACGCAGCCGGCCTTTATTTTGCTTCTGTTTTACATCAGGTGAAGTCTTCTGTAAGCAAACCTCGAGCCACAAGTTCACCGTTGGCGTCTGAAGAAGATGACCTTCCATCGCACCGAACGAGTACCACTGGTAAAACTAGACTGTTATCGTCAATTAACTCTTAACGGCCACTGACTTTTGTTTAGTTTAGTTTTGTTTGTTTGTTTACGCAAAAAGTTTCTGTTGTGTTTCGAGAGGAGTCTTAAACGAAATGGTTTCAAACAGGGCTTCAGGTGGTTCCTACTCTTCTCCGTATTCCACTCTCAAGAAAAATTTGCATGTCTAAAGAACGATTACAAACCGAGGGAATGAAAGTAATCTAACACTTTTGACAAAATTTTTAGCTCAAGTTTCGTGACCAGAGAGCTATTTATATTCAGTCATTTCTTTTCTGGTGTATCTGTGTGCTATTTTAAATTACTGCTTATTAATTTACATTTCAGATTCCTCTGTTGATAATCGTGAAAAATTAAAGGACATGCAGGTACATGCTGGTCATTTTTTTAAAATCTTCTTCGTTTCACGAGTCTTTTTTCTTCCCTCTTTTTTCAAACACTAGTTTAATTATGGCAGCCAGTCTATAAATATAAAATTTAACTTTACTTTCTCTCAAACATCGCTTCCAATCAGTTAGAGATGGAACTTCTCAAACGCCGGCTTGAAGACGAAAGTCGAGCGCGTGCGACAGCCGACTCGAGAATACTCGAAGTAAGTTACTCATGTAACGTTAATATATATCTTAAGTTTAGGAGTCAGCTAATCCGTTGACTCCTAATAGTGATTGACATTCAATTTCTCCTTACAATATCACCCCTGAATCAAACATTTAAGTTACGAGAATAAAGGAGATGATTACCAACCAACAAATCTCTTGATTGTTAATCGAATTCTGCTTGTCAGTACCGTAGGAATTGTACAGAGAACAGTATGGAGAATATGGATACTGATGTTAAGGTGTAAAGGGTTTGACACAGAGAGTAAAGGAGTAATCTTTAACTGTATTTCCAGTTTTACTTTCCATTCGACTACGGTGCATTTGATCGTTTTGGTTGAGACTGAAAACGTGCGATCTTCTTACGCCTCTATCGATATATCTGTTGGGCGTATCTACGCATTTTGCCGTCCTAATCTTTTCCTGTTTCGTTTTAGTTGCAAGTCGAGAACAGAAGACTGCAGCAAGAAATACGACTTTTGAAGACACAGCAAACAGTGAGTATATTGCGCCAACAGCCAGTAACACTTTGACTTTTAAGAAATTTACTCTAACTCGATTTATTACCGTAATCAAGTTCGTTCCTAGTAGACCCAGCTTTAACTTTGTTGTTGTTGTTTGTCGTTTGTATACAGTTACCACCAGCTCGTCCTGTGTCTCTGAATGGCACGTTCTTGAACACGGTCCCTGAGAAACAAAAGATCGGAGGTGCGTACATTTATTGCCATGTTAATGTACACGGAAAAATTACGCGGTGCAAAGTTGTAACACAAGCGCACACCCTTTCAAAATTTCGTCTATTCTGACTTTGTGTGATGTTTTTCATGTACATAATTAACAATTAAGAACATTATTTCTCTTGCCATTTGGTGTTGTAAGTTCTTGTAAATTTTTCAAAGACTACAAATTGCTACGGGCTCGTGCCCTACGGGCTCGTACTTATTCTTCTGTAACAGAGCTGTAGAACTTCTGCGCATGTCATGGAGTTGCATTTGTATCCAAAGCGACGGCGTGAATGATTTATAGTAGCGGAAATCGTCAAAAAAATTTTAATTTTATTGAAACGTGTATATCCTCTCAAATGTTATTCTGCACGCTCAGTCAAAACCTGCAGAAAATGTATTTTCGCGATCGAACTGCAACAGTAAACGGCAAAATTTTGGTGAGAGTTCAAGGTTAAAACCGTGATATTCAATGGTTATTTTGTGCGTCTGTTAAAGGACAGTCTGTCGCTTAGGTGTTAGCTTAACTCTCTACTTATGTCATAACCAGGGCAAAGGGAAAAAAGACAATAAATCACCGTCTACTTGTCGATTTTTCTAAAATCCCGCCATTGCCTCGGTATGATTACACTGGCGAGCCCGCGTAAGCTCGTGAAATGCGCGAAAAAGTTTTTTCCAGCTTTGTCACCCTCTGTCTGTGTGCAAGGTACCCTCTCTGCCTTTATGTCTTTCTGACTGGCTGACTGTTTGTCCGCCCTGTCTATCTGAAGGAGCGAAAACCATTCTTGAAGACGACCGCGTACTGGAGAGTATCGAAGCGTCTTTCAGACAATTCCATGGTTTCTTGGATCTGCTGAAAGGATCCAAGTAAGTGTTTTTTTTTCAATTATCCTTCTTTACTTGTCTTGAAGAGATTTTTGTTCGAAGGTCGGGCGCAGCACAGTTCCTTAACTCGAACTGCTATGGGAAACGAAACATAACCCTAGACGTTGAATTTACTGGAAGCTTTATAAGGGGAGATTACTCTAAGTTCGAGTTGATTGAGGTCGAGTCAGCCAAGCTCTACAATAATTGGGTAATTTAGTATTATCAACTGAGTTGATAACGTAAACAATATCGACATGCATGTTTGTATATGATCCCCTTTTTTACTTCCTTTTCCTCCAGGTTCAGTGATCTGGCGCATGTTCTTGGAGAGAACAGCAGCTTACCTGAGCCTGACAATGGCCTTTCACCAATAACAGAAGAGTCCTCTGGTACTGCAAGATGACGATTGGCTAAGAATTTCATTTCAAATTGGCCCATGTAAAATGGCTCTTTTAAATTTATCTTCGTGCCTAACGTCCCTATCGACAATACTGTATAGACATTGAACCAGTTACCTCGAAGTTTATTTACGATTTAAGGTTTATTTTGTGTTTTTTTTTAAAATACACGATACAAAGATACTAGATCGTTTCTCTTTTTAAAACCAGCAAAAGTTTTGTTACCTAATTTGTTACTGTTTGTTAATTCATCTTGATTTTCATCCCGTATATTAAGCCAACATTATTAAACTGTACATTTTTAACAGTTTATCTTGGTCTAACTCTCTCTTTCTCCGCTGTGGAAAATGCTGCTGGTATGAGCAACGAGTTTGCAGCATAAGGCTGTGGTGCGAGATGAACGCGAGAACTTTTGGGAATGTTAAGTTTTTTTTACGTATTCACGAGGGCATTCGGCTTCTTCGACCAGCTTGTGAATGAAATTTAATGGGCGCCTTTTCAAATGTAAATCTTAGTATGTTTATGATAATGACGGTACGAAATTGGTTATGGTTTTTAGAAGAATATATGCCATCTTCGATAACTGTCGACACTTAAATGAAACTCGATCTAGTACCAACTAAAATTTTCAAAACTATGCAACTCTTGCCGTTACGGTACAAATTGGTTATTTTTTTAAAGAGAATTACATGCTTTTTTCACGTTTCCTCTTTCATTGTCTCTCTTCGTTGATCTTGCTTTAAAATTTCCACCATCTCCAGGGCATTAGCTCTAGTTCCATACGTTGAATTTGACTTCCGGCTCGGTCTGCGCCCGTATGACGCATGCGTAGATATGCTCCTCTTGCTACTTGATCGTTTTCTTACGCGTGACCTCCTAGGCACACTTCCATTAGCTTCTGATCCGGAACCACTGCGCCTGCGCGGTAAACGCTTATACATCAAATTGGCGGGAACCTGCGAAAGCGGGGCCATCTTTGTAGACCGCCGCGGTTGTTGTATACGCGTGCGCGCTTGCATGTAAAAGTACGAGAAGTTGCTGCCAATCACTGAGACCGGAAGTGCAATTATGATGACGCCGCAGATAGCGCACATTGCTCCTATAACTTTCCCTACTTTCGTTACCGGAACTACATCACCATACCCGAGTGTTGTGACAGTCACGATAGCCCACCAAAAAGACTCTGGGATGCTGGGAAACATTTCTTCGTTGTTTTCATTCTCTGCAAAGTAAATCATGCTCGAAAATAAAATGATTGGCACAATAAGGCTGAAAAACACCAGAAAGAGTTCATTCTTGCTTGATATTAGTGTATGGAATAAGATTTGGAATGAAAAGGACAAACTGAAAATGCGGAAAATTCTAAGCGTTCTCATCACCACAAGCCAAGATGTTCTTGTCCCGATGTGGTACAATGAAAGATAAAATGGTAAAACAGCAAGTAGATCCATCCAGTTCATGGGATTTTTGCAAAGTTTTTGAAATTCGGACAGAAGATGAGACGAAGAAAAAATTCCACTGTGAACCAAATCGATGTCACGGCATCTAGAATCCGCAAGATCCTCATCAGCGTTGCGTTATCTTTGATGGATGTCACGGTGCTAAGGCAGAATTGCGTGACTGAGACCAAGATAAACAGACTTGTCAAACCAATGAATACCTAGAAAATATTTGAGAATTCTTCAATTAGCATGGAAAAGCAAGCCTAGTATAGCGTGAATTCTCGAACCCACAGATGTCATGTATAGATCTGGTTCTTGTTTCTGCTGCATGGGTTTTTCTCAGTTTTCCTCTGGCTTTATTTTTCGTATTCAGAAACCAAGACTTGAAATTCCAAATTTTTAAAGGGGAAACTAGGGCTATATTTGGTGTTTCCCTTTCATAGAAATAAATATAAACTGCTAGCAAACCAGAGAATAAACTAACTTCAAGCAAAAAATGTAGAATCAGCGTAAAAAAATTGTTTTTGTTTGGTGAGGGATCTTATAAAGGAGAAGAAAACCCTTGAAACCGAATGATTTTTATCTCCACCATTTGAAAGCGTAGAGGAATTATATGAGCGACTGCGTTTTGGGATTCCAGAGAGTAACATAGCCTTACGAAAATTGTTTCAAATTAGCTTGGAATCAGACTGAGGACACAAGCATTTTGAGTTTTGCTTAGCAGCCTGGTAGCTTTCCTGTGATGTAATAAAGCCTTGCCCCTTATTCTGCATCTCTTTGAAGTTTTTCTGACTGGTTACTCACTGATGTTTTTTTGTTTTTGTTTTTACTGAAATAGTGGCGTCTGTAATCAAAATTTTAGAGCATTTGAAGACAATTTTCGATTGGTACAGTTGGTCTTTAGAAGGCTAAAGTGAATTCCTTAACAAAAAATAGGTAGAAATAAAAAAGATATGGTTTAATTGTGGATAAATTTCTCCTGTAAAGGAAACTTTTTCCACACGGCGACCATTACAAAACTGATCCCCCACTAAGGAAACGTCAATATGTCGCCAAATGTCTAAAAAAGAAACAATTAAATATCAAGGTAATCAAAAGACTTTTTGAATGACCTTCACATTAAAACGGAGTCTTAAAATCTTATTGCCTGGGGTTCGATTTCCTCCTCTATTCAACAAAAACCCAAGACCCCTTTCCTTATCACCACCTTATTCTGTTTCTTAGCCGTGTTTCTATCAAGCTTTTGAACTGAATTGTCAATCGTGTTTAAAATGAATTGATCAGCACTGTTTAGAAATTGAAATGAAGGTTAAAACGATCAGGTGTTTGCAGCGCATTTATGACAGATCTTCTCCGAAAAACACCTGCCACCTTGATTGCGTTTAATCTGTTGGTTATGGACTTGAATGAGTCCGTATTTGACCAATGGTTGAAGATACGACTAGTTATGTTCAGGTATAATTTCTCTCTAAAAGGGTTGTGCAATTCGCAAATTGCACACTTAGAGCTTATCAAAGGATAGTGAAGTGTCGAAACTGAATTTTTTCGGGATGAATGGTAACCCTTGCTGTGAAATAACTATAACAACAGCTCGGTCATTTTTATGCAAAGAAAAACATCTTTTGCATGGTTAAAAGAAGTATCGATGAAATATAATTTCCCTAGATAAATGCATTTTTTCTCTTATTGCCTACAAGATAAATAGAAAAAAAATTTAAAAGATAAAGTACTCTTTACTTTAAATTTGTCTTTGAGACAGTTTTCTGCAATATGAAATTCTTTGACAGATTTTCAGCAAGCTTTTCAAAATCGCCACCAAAATAAAAGAGAAAACTAATTTTTAAAATTTACTTGACAAATTTGTTCTTCCTCTTTCGAAAATTATGTAAAATTACGGGAGGAAAAATTTCTTCTCCGGATCAGGATCAACATTAAAATTAAAAGTTATCTCTACATTCTCACCTTTGCCGCAAGAGAAGAGCGTGGATCGTCCAACAGCGCCCAAACTTTGGGCCGAAATTGCCTCCATCTTTCACGATTATTTCTCGTTAAAACAGTCTCTGATCCAAACAAGCTTGCTATGGTTGCCCGCTTTTTCGCACCTTTAGCATTGCTTGTGCAACCTCCGGACGCTTTCCTCGCATTATCAAGATGAAATGTTTTAAGTGTCTCCTCTGTGTTCATCTGCCGCTTGTACAAGACCCAACAACATGGCTCAATATCCCGTTCGTTTATTCCCCAATACGACAATTCCTCTTGAAATAGCGCCGAGCAAACATCGGCTGGGCAATGAAGCTTGCCAATGCGGTAATAATTCAAAACTTCGGTAAATATTCGTGGATGTCGGTCGAAGAAGTATTCTCCAAGCACGGGGTCGAAATCGGGGCTGTTTGGATGGTTCTCCGCAATCCACGACAACCGAGTATCAGGAATATTTTTTAACGTCGTCAAAAAAGTGTTGTGTCGAAAACCGCCAACGTTTATAGTTACTCTGTCGTTTCTCAAAACATCAAACATGTTTTCAATACAAGCTGTGGAAATTTTGCCTGTCGTTTTTTTTTTATGTGAGTGTTTTTTGTTGCGAGGAACAGTTTACGCTGAGTGATTGAGATGAAGCGAACCAATGATTGGATCTCTACAGTATTCAACTCGGCGTCTGTATATTTCCTGGTGATCTTCAGCAAAGGTGGCAAAGGTGGCAAAGGTTTAATTAAATCAAGCACAGCGGATTGTTTAAGTTCAATCATAGGGTTGACTGACACATTTATTAAGACCGATTTCTTTCAAGAACGTTTCTTCAAAGACTTGGCGAATCAGGTCAGAATAACAACGGAGGGAAATTGGCCTTTTATTTTAAAGAAACTTATAAACTTCAACACAAAATGAAATGAAACATTGAAGCAGTATTAACTTACTTTTTACTTGATCAAGCCTTCCGTATTTTTTTCTCCATTGAATTTTCTATTGGCCTCGCTACAGCTGCATTTTTTTTTTAACCTTGTTTATTTTTGTTTATTGATTCAAATTGAGCTGTCTACGGTTCTAGCTTTTGTTTGGTCCAGTATAAATAAAGCGCAAAAAATATAAGATGCCGCCGATGAATCGCGCAAATACTTAATTAGATTAGGAACTCAGCTATGGGTCTGTTTCAGCAAATGTCTTTATTTTTAACGTGGTTTATGAGCTTTTTTCTTTTTTTTTCTGCCGGTCCAATTTTTCTTAAGTAATCATATTTGCTTCGCACAACGAGTGACAAATCGGAATAAATCGAAATTCCAACCGAGGACTGGAACTGAATTTATTATTCCCCGGCGAGTTGTGTTACGACTCTTTACGAAGTAGTTGGAAGATTTTGTTTTCTTGATGAAAATTGAGGCGTCGGAGTAGTAGAAATTAGACGGGAGTGATAAACAGGTGGCTGGAGTACGAAAACGAAATATTTTTAATAGCTGACGTAACTGGTATTCCGGCGGAGTACGTCATGTAATGAACGAAAATTTATAAAGACAAAGAATTGAGAAATTACACTATCATGAGGATTTTTCACAACGATTCATAATGTTTTATCATCGATTGTTTTCAAATTATCTACAAGTTACAGAGTATGCATCGCATATTATTATAATTATATTATTTCCTCTTAAATTTTAAAATAATTTTCCTTGACGTGTTCAGCTAAAAGCCATATCTGCCAAATCTTTACTTGCTTGCTATAAAGGCAAAGAAAAGGAATGGTGTTTATTATACTGGGATGTTTTTAAACTTGAATTAGTGCATTTTATAAATGAACCGGTTTGAAAGAGAAAAATCAAAATAAAAAATCAGTTTTTGTCTTCTTTAGGTTTACAGTTACATCGACCTTGTAAGAGCGACAGTCATCTAATTTCTTCTGACAGTATACGCGCTTAATCAAACACTATGGTCGTGAGACTGAAAGGAAATGATCACACACTGTAGGACTATAGAATCTTTAAGTTGTTTCGCAAATTCTGCTGGTCAGCGCCTTAGGAAATGTCTACAGAATGAGATGGAGAATATGCATACCCGGTTAATATGGACAGTTTTCAGCAAATCAGGGCGCGTGCGCAATATTTCTGCCATTTTATAAATTGAGATGAACTGTTTGTATGAACCGCGCTAACCTGGGACACAGTTTGGCCAGGGAAACACAAAAGGTTCTCCATTGGAGTCTAGAAGTGGAACTGTCGTCCACTTGCCGTCACGGTAGTCGTATGAATGAGGAATGGGTCTCTCCGGCACGTGACCTGGATCGCATTTCACCTTGCAGATGTAATCAGAGCCGGCAAAAAACAAACAGAGTAGTTTTCCATGATCTGGCCATGGGGGAGGGGTAACATGACCATCACCAGTATCACCTGTTTAACGAAAGAGAATTCGTTTCAGTATGAATCAAATTGTATGTTGCATAAAAAGCATTGATCCCAAGGGAAACGATGAGTTTTCTTTTCACCCGAGAAGCTCCATGTTCCTCGAGGCGAAGACAAGGAAGAACGAGGGATCGACAGCGAGTTATTGAAAGAGTCTGATTAAAATTTTTGATGTCAGTTTTAGTTGTATGCCTTCTTAACATTGTTCTCACAAATTAGCGTCTAAGTGGAACGTTTGGCTGAATTAAATTCCAAAATAACACGCTATACTGAACAAAGGTTAAACTGATTATTTAGCTCTGAGCCATAAAAGTCATTTCGTGTCGAAATAAAAACAAACGACCGATCAAAGAGATGATCACATCTTGTTGCCAAGAATTACGTGGAATGACTTAGAATTTCTTGACCATCACCGTGTTTTTAGATTAATTGGCTGGAATTTCTTAAACTGGAAACAGCCAGACAGACAGAGTGAAGCGAAATCAGAGTGGGGGGGGGAGGGGGGGATGAGTTTCTAAAGAAACTGGTGCCGCGTCGGTGGGAGAGTATAGTAGGTAATTTAGTGTTAACAACTGAGTCGAGAACGTAAATTGGCCACCGTGAAGAGTAAAAAAGCTGGCGTTTCGAGCGTTTGCCCTTCGTCAGTGCGATTAAGACGAGAGTTGGACGAGAGATATTCGTGAATAGTCGTTATCGTCACGAAACGGAGCCAAAATTGTGCACGCTTTCCAAAAACGCTTCGTGACCTGCATATCAATCCGATTCCCACTGTAATAAACGTCTTTATAGTTCGAAAACCACTTGCAGCGGGTTGTAAGAGTGTTGGATGCAAATTAAAAAATCGAAGCACTCTGAAGCGCGTTTCTTATCATCACTTATTTATATAAACTTTCATCTTTCTGTTTCAATTTCTACTTCCCTTGAGAAAAGCTGTTAATAAGAAGATATCACATTAATTTTTTTAAATAGCAGATCGCTTAAGACTTTTTTATCGTTGATATTTCCCTTTTTAGCTTTTAGTGTTTTTTTAAATTTTCGAACGTTTTTTTTTAATTTCGTTGCATTCGAAACTTAGCTAGAACGCTCAGCTCATGAAAAGATCCCATTAATCTTAATTCCATTATAGTTATAACAAGACTGACTTACCGGCATAAACAGCAGTCAAACAGCCGAGAAAAGCGAACATTTCAAGGAATCTTTTCATGATTTTCAGTCAAACTTGCTCGTAACGAAGTGCGTTGGTGAGTTTTGAATCGATGACCATTCAGCTGTGCGAAGCTGTGGATCGAGTGCATTATTGGCTAACGTTGCCTGTAACAAAGCGTAAAATAAACAAACACTAACAGCTAAACAATTACAATTGAAACAAGATATGTGATCTTTTTACGTCAGATTTAAATACAGGTGCAATTGGTTAATGAATTTTAAATCAAGGTTCACGAAAGCTGAACAAACTAAAATCACACTGGACTCGAGGTAAAGTCCGGTCTCAAGCTATCGTGACTTTTTCTTAGATTAGGTGCTAAACTCATCATTGCCCCAGAATTTCCTTTGTTAGAAAGTTGTTATTGTTGAAATGAAATTCGTCATCCGCGAGATAGCAGATGGAAATGAAATATTCGATCTGAACAGAACATTTCTTATTTCAGATTCAACATGGGTTAAAACATTCACCTAATAGCTTTCTGTTGGCTATTAACATGCGGTAATTAACAAATACTCACGGCGGCGAATCTTACTTATTTTTTTACTTTTACGGGTAAAATCTATTTCACAAAATACTTTCTTTGATTCATGAAGGCGCAAACAATTCAAAGAGGAATGAAATTGCTGAAAGAAAATAATAATTATGTTAAAGGTTGTATAACTTTGTAGAATGTATAATTCGCAAAATTTTTTATCGGGGCATAGTACAATCGGCATAATCTATTGATCTTTCGTGTAATTGAAAGCCAATCGTAAACAAACAGGAGTAGAATTTTTCGCAAGGCGAGGTAAATGAAATTGAAAATTCCTGGAACTCGAGGGGCTGACGGCGTACTAAAGGAATTCTGAAGGGAGGGGAGAGAGGGGCCGAAGTAAAATGCGATGGATTATCTACGGGGAAGGGAGAGAGTTGTAATACTCCTTATCACCATCTTCAGCATCACGTAAAGTATTGCTTGTCTGCTTGTCACAGGGAACTTAAACTGTGAACGAAATAAAAATATTCTCCATTCCTATAAGTGGATTTTAAGAACTACGTTACGAACATATGCTTCAAATTCCTGTGACTGCCCACAATATCAAATTAGTTGTTTTTTCCCTATTATCGTGGTCACTGAAAATCGAACAAAACCTTGATTATCTTTTCTTTGTTTATAAGAGGACCCCAAAACCAGCCTTTTAAGCAGGGAGTATTATTCAAATTTTTTTATCTTTTCAATTAGTTTTGTCATTAACACCGTGAATAGGTTTTTAATTTTCTAGTTTTAATTTATGGAGGTCTAACAGTCCTTTGTTTGAAGTTCATCGCATTATTGCTAAGCAAGATTGCAAAAAGTCTTGCAAACCCCGCTAACAGTTTTATCATCCAAAGCGCGTCCCTGAAACTGGCTCAGAAATCATTTCGGAAAGTAAGAAAATCAAGAGTACTGGAAAAGCAATGCAGTCAATTATTACCCTTGTTTTGTACACTTTACTTCCTACAAAAGTTATCGCAAATCAGGGTAAGACTTAATGTGTAGCTTTTGCTAATTAAGTCCAAACCTTTTACCCTCTCAGTCGTATGCGTCGCTCATCTGAATTTATTTTTATACTATTTTGTCATCATGCTTTATAATAATATACATGATAACATTACGCGCGTGTTATTTGCTGAAATGGAGTGCAATCCTTCCTGTTACACGGGTTGTAAGTCGTAAAACGAGTGCAAATAACAAATAGCGCGCGCGCTGCCAAAATTTCGTCCGTCTTGACTTACTGTGATGCGTTTTTCATGTAAATTAATAACTTGTAACAACATGATTCTCGTGCAAGTTGGTGTAAGTAAACTCTTGCCAATTTTTCAAAGACTACAAATTGCACTCGCCCTTCGCGCTTGTGAAATTCTTATTTTAGTAAAAAACCAAACTGTACTCGAAATCACGTTCATTACTGTCTAGACTTCATTCATAGATTCATGTTATGCAAAAGTACAATGTTGCTGCACTTCTTGGACTAGAAAATTCTGCATTCCGCCAGGGCGTCTTGTCGTCACAACTTTTGTTGTTCCGAAAAAGGCAAACTGGTTTATTATAAAAGCTTTGTTTTGAAGATAAAAGAATTCATTGTTTCGTTTTCAAGGATCTTAAGGTGATTTGACAGATCGCAGACTTGTGCGCAAGTTTTTCAAATACTATCAGATCTAAAATTGCGATGTTTTCCTCCAAGCTTTCACGAGAAAGTCTCTTGACCAACAATAATCTGTTCTTTACCCCACTAAAATGTTCACATTCAATTTTTTGTTTGATGAATAGTCCAAAATTGCCTGCTCTTTTTCCTGTCAATTGTTCTTTAAGCTTTCGCAAGATCGTTTTTATATCCAACACTAATTTCATCTCTACTCCATTTACATGTTTACCTGCAAGTTTTTATTAGATAGATATAGAGTCTAAACGATACGAGGGGAGCTGGTATAATTCCAAATATTTGAAAAATGTCACACAGTAGTGTAGTATCTTACGAGTATTAGCTAACCAAATCAATGTCTGCGATGAAATTATTTCGGCCTATATATTCCGTCTACCAAACTGTAATTTTTCAAAGCTGTAATGCTGGATTTACTTCCTCATAAAAAAATTCGAGCTACCTTTATCAGATGAAAGGTAACTTTCCTTACAAGTTTATCCAATCGTCTTTGTGATCCTTGTTTCGGTCATTTTGATGCAGTAACAAAGAGCTTGTTAAAAAAAAGAAGTTATCTTGAAGTTAAAAATTTACCTTTCTTGTTTTAGGAGGTTGTAGCCTGTCTGTTGATATCATTTCCTCAGTTTATGGAGAAATAATCTATAGAATTCCTTTTCTACATAATTGACAGCTTTCTTTCCTCCTAAATATCATGGTTTCTGTTCATAACGGAGAGCTGCGATGAACGCTTTACGTTTTATTATTTCAAGGGTGCTCTCCGTATGATGTCCCCATTACTGCCTCATTACCAGATAGTAATTTCAATGCATCGTCAGTCTTGTCTGCGAGTTTTAACGAACCTTATATGGCCAAACTTTGGGGAAATTCGGAGTGGTGTCCGGCTACCGCCAGCCTAGGCACCGAGTACTTCCAAGTGGATTTCTCGAGGCCTTTCCGAGTCTGCGCGGTTGATACTCAAGGGCACCACACGCTGTCCACGTGGTTTGTGTCTAGCTTTAATATCACATATTCGCTGAATGAATCCACGTGGTTTACAGCACAGCAGAATGAAACAAATGGGGTGAGTATTCTGCTCATGAGGCCGGGAGACCTGGGGTTGAACTGATTGGCGCATTGGAGGTCTGGGTTCGAGACCTGAACGCGTCATTTTGTTGTGATCTTGGGAAATATACCTTACTTTTACAGGGCTTCTCTCCACCCAGGAGCATAAACTGCCAACGGCGAGCAGTCAGAGAGAGCTGATGAATTATATGGAGGAATGATAATGCAATGATTGCTTTTCATGATGTTCTCGTTAGATGTCGGGGTGAAAGCAAGTTTGCAATCTCCATCAGTTGATAAGTTTCGTTGAAATGCAAAAATAAAGAGCATCAAAATTTTTTTCTTATGTTATTATTATATCAATTTAGATATTCTCTGGTAACTCTGATGGAAATACTGTGGTGAGAAATAAACTGAGTGGTAACTGGAGTTTTGTTGCAAGATTTCTGCGATTGATTCCTTTAACATGGAATGCTTGGCCATGTTTGAGGATGGAAGTTTATGGAAGAGGTAAGATCCTACATTTATTTCATGATTATAAACAAATAAAAAAGCGACACTATAATCGAGGTGGAACAAATGAAACTATAAATGTTGTAGAATTCCAGTAGACTGCAAATGTCATAGTTGAAGATTTAGGCCCGAACCCTCTCGGAGCGATCGGAGACCAGATACAAGAAATCAGCGGAAATGGAGCCAAATTTTTCTCCAGCAGGGATAATCTTTGTTTGCAATGTGCTCATTCTTACTTCGATTGGCTTTCAGAGTTACCGGCCATTGATGTTAGATTCCCTCGAAACAAAACCGTCCTGGAAGGAGAACAGTTTACTCTCAAATGCCTTCCTTTGGGAAATAAGAACAATTTCAACGTCACTTGGATGAAGAAAAGTGGAAACGAAAGATCGTTTCCGGTTGCAGGGCAAAACCTCACCGTGAATGCAACCAGACTTGACACAGGAGCATACAGTTGTGAAGTAACTAATGGAGTGGAAGCCATTGTGTCGCCAATAGCTTATGTTACTGTGTGGTGTAAGTGTATTGATCAAGGATTCTAATTAACAGAACCAAGTCACGGCCTGTTTCTCAACATAAAATCCGCAAAAATGTTTCCATTCGCTGTAGGTGTTATTATCACACGCTCTTAGCCATTGTTGTTTCTTTTTGGTCCGTCGTTTGATTCTGTTTCACTTTATTAAAAAGAGGCCTGGCCACAGGTGGAGGTAGCGAGGGAAGGAAGAAATTATTTAGATGCATATACGCTGGTAAGTCTATGAATTCATTTCCCTCGCGATGTGATTACAGCACAATATTATCCAAGTTTTATGCTTAATACCGCCTTATGATGCGTCAATATTTCCGAGCAAGAAAAAATGCTCATTTTTTTAAATTTTATTCGAAAACCAAACCCAAAATTCACATCTCTTTTTTTTTTCAGATCCACCCTCATTTATTGATTTAAAAAACCAAACCAAAGAAATCGTTGAAGGCGTTAAAATGAGTCTTCAGTGTAACGTTACGGCGGCTAATCCAGAGCCGAACATTACCTGGTATAGTGCGACTGGGAATGACACAGTTCTTTCTAATGCAGTACATTTGACATTTTCCAATATTTCAAGATCAAATTCAGGGAATTATTTCTGTGTGGCTGAAAATGGAATTGGTCCAAAACTCACTTCTGGTATGATAACCCTGAACGTGCAATGTAAGTTCATCGACTTTCTTTTAAAATGCATTTGTAATGACAAAAAGAAACCATTTTGCTACTCTTAAAAAAACACTGCTGTTGGTAAAATAACATTATTCTCACCAACCAATGTGGCTTGCAAGGAAGAGATACCCATTTATGAAACGAAAAAAAATATATTTCTTCATGGCGGATGAAAAATCGCCATCCCGGACAAGGCTAAGGCCCATAATTTTGATCACAACCGGTAGATTCCACAAAGGAAATCTTCATTTTTTCTTCAGATTCACCATCACTTGATACAAATTTCCCTCATGATGAATCAGCAGTGGAAGGAGAAAATGTAACAATGAATTGTGTTGTAAAAGAAAGTAATCCTGAACCAAACATCACGTGGGTAAAGCTGAGTGACCGTGCAAAGGTGTTTCCGAGCGGTGCCAGTCTGAGATTGCGCAGTATCTCAAAGGATGATGAGGGGGAATACCGCTGCCTGGCAGAAAATGGCATCGGTGAACAGATGATGTCGCGTATTGCTTACCTCTCAGTGGAGGGTCAGTTATCCTAGAAACTCTACAATTTGATTGTTATTTCATGAAATAGTATTGTATAATCGTGTGCCACGAGTAGTTTTGGAATGGACTGTTTTCGTTAACAACGGCTGATTTATAGACGCAAGGTAACAGACGCACGGCAACATAGAATCTTTTCGTTTTGTACGATAACAAAACAAAATGTTGTTAATGATAACGTCATGTTGTTAATGATCCCGGCATGACGTCATGGTGACGTCGTGTTGTCAATTGTCACGGCATGAAGTCATGGTGACCTTTGATTTTGCTACTTTTTAGGAGGGAATGAAAAAGGAACAAGTGAAAAGGGCAGTAATCTTGTTGACGACAGTTGTAAGCGTAAGTAAATCACATAAAAGGCTTCCCCCGTCCTCTTCTTCTACGATTACTATCAAGATCTCAAGGTCCGAACTATTTTTTCTGAAGGACAGTTCGACTGATAAGGCTGCCAAACTTACAATTCAGCGTTTTATTCAGGACCTATTTGGTAAATCAATGACACTGTGATAAACCAAAATTTCACAACTCAGCTGAAACTTGAGAACTGATGACATAAATCACCACTACTTTGTTCCAAGGAGCCCAATTTATCCCGGATGCAAGGCCGTAGCTAGTTAGCGGAGAGGTAGAAGGCCAGTTGCCTACCCCTTCTCCGCCCACAAAGTATTCAAGCAAATTTTTTTAATGTCACCTCTCGTTGGTGTGGTGGGAAGATGATTTGAACTTTACTTATATTGCAACAAATCGCTCATCAAACAAAGGAAATCAACTTGAAGTACAATCTTCTGCGTGCTGTTCCCAATATCTTTCTATGTAATCTCCACACCTGATTGTTGGAAAGTGATCGAAACTCAAAGAGAGGGCCAATCTAAAAAAATTGCCTCAGAGGGGTACTTCCGGCATTTGCCCGGTTTGTCCCCCTCCTCCCCCCCCATTAAACATTTCGCGCCACGACCTTTTCTGACCCGTTTAAAGTGAAATCTATGGCTACCAACAGTTGTTCCACGGAGATCTTGACTCAAATTCTCTTATAAGAAATCGATGAACAAGAAAAACCTTTTTTATTTCTTTTGTAGTAGAAGTCTTTATAATTATGATGTTATAACCTGGAGAAAAGATATCATAGACTCACTTTTACCGTTTAAATTTTTTTTTTCAGGGGGAAGATTTCGATTGCTGATCATAATCCTGCTGACGATATCTATTACCTCCCTGACGATTGGGACATTGCTTTTGGTTGTGTTCTGTTTTTATTATCATAAGTAGAATATACCATCAATTCAAAAAACTGCCGACACCTCATTCTCGTGATTTGCTGTTGTTGATGCTTTTTATTTTCCCTGTCTTTCCATTTCATATATACTCAAAGTACTACGGCTACTACTGCTTACAACAGGGATCACATACAGACTTGCATGTAGCAGCATGTAGATCGAGACCCCAGTTATCAGAATAAATCCAACACATTTCAGAACGGTAGGAAATGAAATACGTTAAGATCAAAGTGCGATACAAAGAGACTTCATGACTCATCGCGAAGATTGATGCGATTTCGAGGTTGGATGAAAAGATAACTTGACCCGTAAGCTTTATAATTAGCTTTCGTCACCTCTTTTTTTAAATATCATGCCATGCCCAACAGCCCGAAAAGGGATTTTTCTCCCGGTAATTTTAATTTGGAGTCTTTTTGTTTAACTTTAATTGGTGGAGACGAGAATAATCCACTGGACTGCTCTTGAAATGCAAATTTACTTTTAAGAGATCATTTTAAGTGGTTTTGTTTTCAACTTGAAAAAATTTGCGGACCAATGCATGAAAAGGAACTCATATTCTTGAGACATCGCCAGACTGTCCTGCTTCACTGTTGCAGTATGCGGTCGACCCAGTCAGGACCGCGTGCCAACTGATGAAAATTATATCTCTAACTCAGTTCTGGTTGCCCTCTCCATGTCACCGTCCGTCATGACGTAACTCTTTGACCCCCCAAGAGTGATAAGCATCTAATTTCTCCTTACAATATCATGCCTCAATCACAAATTAAGGCCAAGATAGAATAAAGGAACTGATTCCCAACTAAAGGAGCTCTTAAATGATTGTTTAATACATTCTCCTTGTCAGCACCTTAGGAAATGTATAGAGCATAATAATGAGAATGTTTAAACTGATTTTTGGGTGTCAAGGGTTAATATCAGTATTGAATGAGGGGGGAGAAAAACATTACAGCAAATTCTGACGAGGGTAACTTGGCCCTTGTAAAGTTTCTTAACACATTCCTCTCCCCTCTCAATACAGCAGCCTAGTTTTTGCGTTACCAATATTATGGACCTTAAGCTTACACGACACTTTTAATATATAGATTTAGCCAAGCCTAAAAGCGGAGCTCGCATCTTTTTTCCCGCACGTCTCAAGGGTACAACGCCTTGCCCCGGCCAGGACTAGAACCCGGGTCGTCCGACTCGGAGCCCAGTGCACTGACCACTGGACAATTGGACGAAGCCGTGGCGTTGGCGTGCCCGCGGTACAGTTGACCACGCATGTTAAAAGTAGCACCTTGTACGGTCGTACGGTCGTACAGTCGTACATCCAAATTTTTTCGACTTGATGGGTTACTACTATTTTGTATAATTATGGGGCTACGCTCTGCGAGCTCCGCCATCACCACAACCAGCAGTGATTTCGTAATCTGATTGGCTAATTTGTCGTCGAAGAGTACAGATAAAGCTGCTTGCTTCAATGTGTCACGCAATGCTTATTTCAGCTCTCAAACATGGATGACTCCGAAATTTTGACTTGAATATTATAAACTCACCGGGTACAGCAACAAATTTTGACCACTGTGATGACAAATATCATTGTCGATAAATAAGAGTATACACCACACTAAAGCACTGTTGGTTTTTTTTACGTGGCTGAGAATGAAATTGGCCCAAAAATTACATTTGGGATGATAACGTTTTGAATTGTATGCTAGTATATAGTTTCTCTTGAATTGAAAAAAAACAAAACAAAAAGGGGGGGGGGGTGGCGAATCGTACAAAGATATGACCAAGAATGTTCCGTTAGAATTTTTGCAAGGTATCAGCTTCCACTTTGTGACATTTTCAAACCAATGCTTTCATTCATACATAGACTTAGTTCTTATAAATATACCGCCAAGCCACTCTTGAAACCTTTTGATTGATACTGGGCTATAGGAAAAGACATGAAATGCGATATTTTGAGATTAGACAACGCTACAACTTCACTACTCGTCGTAAAGGCTGGTATAAATTTATTGAACGATTATTATATTGTTATCATTGGTGATATGGTATATAAAGTTATGATAATTCCAGATAGAGGAAAACTGGCGGCAGCCTTTTTTAACACCTCGCCCATCCGGGCGCCGATGAGTGCCGATTCTCAGGCAGCCGCCAATCAACCTCACTACGTCCATTCTGACGCAGGAACCGATTTGCACAGCGGAAGTAATTTCTTCCATAGAATGGCTGTGATGAAGTCGACCTTTGGCTTGGGTGCCCTCCGGACTTGATGTAATGATTTCCACTAATATAGGAAGCTGCACCCCTCGCTTCAGATCCCCAAAGAAGAAATGCCGTTGGTCGAGCACTGGCGCAGATTTGTTGAATCACTAATTGCGTGAAGACGGCCCATACTTGTTGATGAGACCCTGCGGATCTTTGTCGGACAGTTAATGCTGCATTGAGAAGTAAGACTCCTTGGCGAACCCAAGGCGTTAAATCCCCGTTTGACAGACCAACGTCGAATCCTTCCCACCCCAACTCCACGAGCATGTTAAAGACAGCGGGAACTTGATACGGATCCACACCTGGCACCAGACTAAAGGCAAAGCCTGTTGCTTGGTTTGGCTGAGGTGTTGGATCCTGACCTAAAATAACAACTTTTACGTCTCGGAGGGTAACAGCGAAAGCGTTAAATATACTGGCCAGTTCAGGCTGTATCCTATACCGTCTTGCATCGCCTGCAAGAACATTTGAAATTTCGCGTAGATCTCGTTCAACATTACGGCTATTGAAAAATGATTCCCATCCTCTTGGAATACAATTATACCTATAGAGATAGTCATGCAGGGTGGCTCTGGCGAATGTTGCTCGTCTACAATCAAAGCGGGAAGAGGAGCGCTTCTCTAAGCTGCTTGCGTTGGCACTTGTTGCAGGTTGCATCCCTGAAACTGAGACAAAAAAGGACATTTGAACAAATTGTGCAATCCAGCTGATTGTTGCATGTGATTCCAACTGATTGTTCCACCCTTTGAAAGTTGAAGTAGGTCCCAGAAACCTGAAAATTTTCATTTCCGCCACTGAAACGTGTTTATAAAAATACACCCCCAAAGGCGTTTTCAGAAAGGCGTCTTTAACTTTATCAAACGTTCGTTTATGGACGCCTCCATTTTGAACGGCAAGTTTGTAACCTGGAGAGAATTGCAACTTGCTTTTAATAGAGAGCTACCTGACTTGTTGTCGTCATTGAAGTCGAAATGCCTGCCTTTTTGGTTGGTTTCTTAATGTTTGCATCCTGATAGCAAAGGAATGGAGAAATGGAGGAAAGGATTGGGGCGAGTTCGTTACGTCCAAGGTAAGCGGCCAAAAAGCTAATCAACATTCAAAATGGCGGCGCACATGTACATCGCCGAGTTTTAAATATATTTAAGGACAACTTTTAAATATTGGGTTCATATTTGGAGTCCCAAAACACTGGTAGTATCGTAATTGAATGCATTATTTCTAATTATGGATACAAAAACTGTTTAGTTATCAGAATATACTTCCACTTAAAGCAAGGCGGGTCACTGATGCAGGCCACGAGCCTAGCTAACTTTCTGTGTTCATTTCTTCGCCATTATTGTCGAAGAAATGCACATTACGAAAACAACCTTTGCCTTTTTATTCCATGATGTGTCATGACTTAACAATTTTGAGTCATGTTTATTTGGCGACTCTTAAATTTCGAAACTAAATGAAAATTTGTATTTTTTAATCGCTTAAATTTCACGTTTTTGAGTAGGCACAATGTTTTCCCTCGAAAAGGTTCACGACTGTCGGAAGTTTTATTGAAGGCATTTCATCGTCAAAATTGATATTAAAGCCAGTGGCTGAATGATTTCGTGAGACGCGACTTTCATCTTTCCCTTGATATCAACTCTACGAAGTGCAACATCGCAGAAGTAACGCTCTTCATCGTGTGTACTCTCCGCGGGTGATAACTAGAGGAGCGGTTACTCGGCACTTCGCAACAACTACACTTCGACAGGAATAACAGAGCAGTTCGCCATTATGCAAGCAGGTCACATTTATACGTGATTACGCAGTTTTCCGAGATAACCGAT